ACGTAGCTTCTATTCTTACTACGTGAGTCAAAACTTATATATTTTGTATGTATTTATATATATATATATATATATATATATATATATATGTATGTAGGGATAGGCTGACTACTCTAAACTTTGATGTTTATTTCGAAACGAAATATTAATGTTAAATTGTTGTGTTGAATAAGATAAAAACAGTAAATTTATTACGAAATCGGTACGTCATACGATCTTATAAATATTCAGATATTTTCTTTTTTTTTTTTCATTTTTTATTTGTTATACTATACCGAATGGCTCCAATTTCACGTGATATAAACAGGAACGTGCGAATGGATATTTCGAATTTTTACAAAAATTTTTATTCTCCAGTTATAACCTATTCTCGTAAAGATCTATATATTTTTTGATATGACTTTTTCTTCCTTTTCTTTTTTTTTTTTTTCTTTCTCTCGAAAGAAATAACACTTCGTAAAAAATTCGAAGAAAGTCATATACTTCGTTCGAATCTTTCTTCTTTAAAATGAGATTCATCGTAATTGATCAAGAATTATGTTTGGATTAATTGCTGAGGTAAATCATTATAAAATCAAGGGTGATGAGTAATTTTAATGGACGACTGTCGGTAACGAAATCCTCGTAAACATTTCGCTTTGTATATCGACCATGCATATTTGCGTCTCGAGTATGTAAAATGGTTAAGTTTCAAGTCGTTGAATATTCACGAAACACCCACTTACCTACGTCTGATTCGAATCTCACGCGCGTGTTTACTTCGAACTTTCCTCCTCCTCCTTCTCCCTCTTCTCCATCTTTTTCCCCTCCTTCTCTACCAGCTTCATCACCTTTTCATCCTTCAGGATCAAATTTTCTTTTTATATTGTTCATCGTACGACGTTTCGCGGAACTTCGAGTCTTTTAAATATTTAACACGTTTGAACGATATATATATATATATATATACACACACACATATATGTATCTAGAATAAGTGAAAACTCGTTAATAAACTTTCGTAGTTAGATAAGATCGATGAAAATAAAGAAAGATATTTAAGTTTTCCTGCGTTTAATTTTTCTTTTTTTTATTTCTATATTTTCATTTTTTTCTCTTTCTTTTTTTTTATCTTCGATCAAATAAATTCGAAGCTTTTTAATCGAGGCGGCTATTTATTCGTCGAATTTATTTTCAAGCTGATCCGTACATGTTTCTTCTTTTTGTTTTATTTTTTAATACATATATATATATATTTTTTTTTAATATGTCTTTTAATATTTCTTTTTTCTTTCCTTTTCTTAATTTTTTTTTTTTTTTTTTTTTTAATATTTTCATACACATCCGAAGCATTTCATAAGCGATAAGCGTAGCGCGCGTAAATCGGTAACTCCGGTAGTCAATGAGATATCTAAAGGGGAATGAAATTTTTATCGACGCTGGATCGACAGGACACGATGTTCGATGAATATCGTCGATAAATCTTGGATACGTCATTAAGCGGGAATAACGAATGTGTATACCTTACGAGATTCCACAATCAATTAATTATACCTCCTTTTAAATCTTTGATCATGAAGAAAACTTCCCCCGTAAAATATTTCTGAATCGATTTATCGGCTTTCCTCGTCAAATTTACACCTCGTTGAAATATTTTAATACGATAATATTAACATACTAGAGATATATTATAATTTAAATGAGATATCTATATCTGAAATTTGCATGTATATATACATATACATATATATATATATATATATATATATATATATATATATAAATAATTCTTTTACCAATCGAAAATAAATTACAATAATAATAACAATTGACAGAATATTTTTTGTTCTTTTCTTTTGTTAGTTTTTTTTTTTTTTTTTTTTTTTTTTTTATAAAAAAAGCATATTAAATTTTATTTACATGTCTTTAATTTTTTTATTTTTTGTTATTTTTTCTTTTTTTTTTAATAATAATAATAATAATAACAATAATAATGTAGAGGATAATAAAAAACAATTCTACGAGTACACATAACGTGTCATTTAAAATTACGTTATAACTAAACATTAAATGATAATTAATATATGAATTATTATAATTGGCTGATATAGAAAAAGATGTAGGAATTATAATTTTATTATTTAATAAAAATTAAATATTTTTGAAGAAAATTTTTTTCCCGCGTTTTATACTCATTAGCCATGTCATTACTTTTAATATACTGCTAGGACCAATGAGAGATACAGAAAGAGAGAGAGAGAATCGTGTTTCTGCGCATGCGCACGATCGTCATTTGTCCCAAAATTCACTTCAGTTTCTATTACGATCTGTTTGGTACGTAGTACGGTGTTCTTTTATTAATGCGTCATGTTATATTTCTATCAAACAAATTAGATGTAAAATTCTTGATAAGTACAACAACGTAAATTAACAAAATAAGTTTTGAATGTTAGACATAGGTTAAAAATTATTAATATTCATTTACAATGCCAGTTCAATCTAATCTATCAAAGTGATAACATACCCGTAACGTTCTAACCTATTTTAAAAGGATACATACAGTCGCGAGATTTAATGAGTCCTTTAGAAATATAATTTCTATATAATTAATATATAATTTTTCATTACAACGAAGTGTTACTCGTAACAGTTAAAAAGCGATTGATCAAAATCAATGTCCATTCGTTGTATTTTATCGTTCGATCATTTCGCTTAATAGTCGCGTTGTGCTTCGGAAAGGAAGAAGAAGAAGAAGAAGAAGAAGAAGAAGAAGAAGAAGAAGAAATAAAACAAGGAAAAAAGGGAAAAAAAGATAATACTTATCTCGTTAATACGATCTACGTATAAAATTAAAAGTGATAATCATTGTTGTATCATATCATTAATGTAGTTATACATAAATCACATCATTTCTCAAGATATAAGATTAACGAGCTATATTCAAACTGAATAAATTAGCTACGATATTGGATTCTTACGAAAAAGGATGGATACGTTGTGTTACTTTGAAGAAAATTCATTAAGAGTAAGTAATAAATTTATTATATTATTATGTCATTGCTATATTCGTCAAATATTATTCGTTATAATTGTAATTATAAGTCAAAGAATTTACTTAACGATAAATATCGTAAAATTAAGTTGACATTAGTAGAATCCTAAAAATAATATAGGATTATTAAAATAAAATTGAATAGAATCGAATATGATCCGAATTAGATCGAACAGAATCGAATAGAATCAAATAGATTAGGAATAAGAACAAATAATAATTATTATAATCGTATTAAAAATTCAATAGTATCAAATAGAATGAACGATATCATTTTGAGGTTATACGTAAAAATACATTAATTATTTACGTTGACTCTAAGAAATAATATATATATATATATATATATATATATATATATATATATATATTATATTATATATTAAATTATGTATTATTATAAAATATTTATTGGTCGGACGATAAAATTATTTCATTATCGAATTATTTCCCAGTAAGTACGTAAAGTAAGTAAAGACGTGAAAACTTATGCACTTTAACGATACGTTTTATATCCTCGTTCTTTTTTTTTTTTTTTTTTTTTTTTTCTTTTCTCTTACATACATCTCTTTTTCGTTTCTTCTTAATCGATCTCTCATTTGAATATAAGCGGATTAACAGAAGAAATGAATATCGAGGAAAACGATAACTATGTACTTTCCGACACCAATGTTCCGCATAATTCGAATTGTCCTTTGTAGGAGGTCTAAGAGAGAAAGAGAGAGAGAGAGAGAAAGAGAAGGAGAGAGAGAGAGAGAGAAAGAGAAGGAGAGAGAGAGAGAGAAAGAGAAGGAGAGAGGGAGAGAGAGAAAGAGAAGGAGAGAGAGAGAGAGAGATGGAGGAGAGAACGGCGATCTTAAAAAAAGAAAAATAAAAAAAAGATCTGCATTTTTCGCAAGGCCAACCGGTATTTCATGACGTTCCATGATATATGCCACGACGAATTTCCGATAAAATTGTTGCCGATGATTATTATTATTATTATTATTATTATTATTATTTTTTTTTTTTTTTTGTTTTGTTTTGTTTTTTTTTGTTTTTTTTTATTCATTTATTTATTTATCTTATCTTTTCTTTTTTTGTATTTTTTTTTTATTCATTTATTTATTTATTTTATCTTTTTCTTTTTTGTTTTTTTTTTTTCTCCATACGTTCCATCAAAAAATGCAAATGTACATTCAATGGTCCCATCGTTTGCTAATAAATAACGCAAAATTGAATTCCCAAATCCGTCGTTTATGTTCGAGATAAGAAAAATAATTTCCAAATGAACTGTGTATGGCTGCGAAAAGGTGGAAAAATTAGAAAAAGGTTTTTTTCTTGTTCTTTTTTTTTTTTTTGTTTTTTGTCGAATTTGTTTACACAGAAATTTTTTCCTATCTTATTAAATTTATTCACGAATCATCGAATCGTTTTATTCTTAGACATATCGTAAATTAATCCTTGGACAATCGAAAAATCATTTTATTTTTGGATTACATCGAAGGATCGTCGAAGAAATATATCGTAGATGCTGATAGAATATCATTGAATCGTTTTATCGATAGACGTATTCCGTATAGTTGACTAATCGTTTTTTTTTTTTTTTTTTTTATAAAATCGTTCTGATCTATCTCTTATTCTCATTTTTTTCTTTTCTTTATTATTCTTCTTTTTTTTCTTTTTTGGATCAATTCTTTGACATTAATAAAGAAACACAAGAAAATATATATCGTAGAGACAAATGTGAATATTTTATCACAGTTAGATATAAATTAAAATTTTTATCTTTAATTATTAATCCTATTAAATGATTAAATAGAATTGATTTTACGTATTATTGAATGTGTGTGATAAATAAATAAATAAATAAAAAAAGAAAAAAGAAATAGAAAAAGAAAAAAAAAATAATCAACTTAGGTAAGAGAATTCAAGGAGATCGATAACCCTTGGAAAAAAGGAACACCAAGAATGAATTCTTTCGAGAGAA